GGGGAGGGGTGTGTGGTTCATGAAGAGCAGGAGGAAGGGGCTCTGTGTAGAGCAGAGTGGGGACCCTCTTCCTGCCAAGGGCCATTTGGGTATGTATGACGTCGTCCGTGGACCAGACAAAATTGTCAGCTATGTGCCTGCAACCCAGGTACATGCCCTTGACCGGAATCGAACCCGAGCTCTTTCAGTCCGCAGGCCGACACTCTAGCCACTGAGCAAATTGCCTCGGGCTGGTCGAGCATTTCAGTAACTCACCCATAATGCCTTGGCAAGCGCCAGACCCAATCCCCCCCCCCCTCCCGTGTAGAGGATAACCTCGTGCCCATACTGACTCTCTTGCAGACTGAGGTTTTAGATGAAGATAAACGCCTGGTCAGTGCAGTGGATTACTACTTTATTCAAGATGATGGGAGCAGATTTAAGGTGAGCCCCTGCAACCAAGGTGCGCCCCACTCTGACAAGGCTCCACTGAGCCGAGAATGAGAATGTTCATTTAGCTTCGCAGCTGCAAGGCTTGGGAGGCCTCCCTGTGCCACTGCCTGGAGCCCATCGGGAGCATGGCCCTTGCAGCGCCTCAGCGCCCGCTGAGGGTGTGCTGTGCTGAGAGACGCTGGGAAGGTGCGGGGTCATGCGGCCCTAAGTCCCTGTGGCCCCGTTTCTCCTATGTGACAAGGCCAGGTGCACTGGGTCTAGCAGCCTCTCTTCACCATTCTCTCTTTTCCCTTCTCATCGCCCTTGAACGGGTTGGTGACTCTTGCAGGTGGCGCTGCCCTACAAACCATACTTCTACATTGCGGCCAGAAAGGTAACTGGCCCCTGAGAGTCATTTCCGATGAACTGTGCCTCCTTGTTCTGGGGGAGCCTTGGGACTGGGAGTGAAGAGGCCTCTGGCGGGACCGCAGGGAAGGAGATGGGCTTTACTAACAGAGAGGCCTTTCCTCTGGTCCTGACTTAGGGTTGTGAGCGAGAAGTTTCGTCTTTTCTCTCCAAGAAGTTTCAGGGTAAACTTGCTAAAGTAGAGACCGTTCCCAAAGAGGATCTGGACTTGGTGAGTGTCCCTCAGACCCTCCAGGGTATGTAAAGCTGGGCCCACTCTGCCGGCCGGCAGGGACCTGGCAGGAGGCCAAGCTTGGCACCTGTGGGTGTGGGGAAGTACCGACGATGGGGCCTTGACGCCTGGACGTTGGTCCCACAGGCAAGGTTGGACAAGGTGCTTGGAGCTGCCAACTCTTTGACAAGTACATTCACCTTTGAGCCATCCTGCCCTTATTTTCTCTCTCCAATAAAACCCGTCCTCCTGGAGCTCATAAGCATGATCTCTTCACTCTGCAGCCAAATCACTTGGTGGGTTTGAAGCGAAATTACATTAAGCTGTCTTTCCACACCGTGGAGGACCTTGTCCGAGTGAGGAAGGAGATCTCCCCTTCCGTGAGGAAGAACCGGGAGCAGGGCCACACCAGTGACACCTACACGGCTATGCTCTCCAGGTAGGTTTCCTCCTGTGGGCAGAGCAGCCAGTCAGCCCACAGGACTTTCCCATTTTTCCTAAATTGACAAGATGGATGGGAGGTGGGAAAACTCAGCAATTAAGTTCTCTCTCTCTCTTGCTCGCTCTATCACAGTGTTCTGCAAGGGGGCAGTGTGATCATGGACGAAGAGGAAACCTCTAAGAAGATTGCGGACCAACTGGACAACATTGTGGACATGCGAGAGTACGACGTGCCCTACCACATCCGCCTCTCCATCGACCTGAAGATCCACGTGGTGAGTGGGCGTGGCTCATGGATGATGCCTGACTGCAGGAGGTGGGACTGAAGGGTAAATCCACGAAAACAGATGCAGAACTCTAGCTCAGGGCTCCCCGTCCTGCAGGCACACTGGTACAACGTCAGGCACCGAGGGAGCGCCTCGCCGGTGGAGATCACCCGCAGAGATGACCTGGTTGAACGGCCCGTAAGTGCTGCTTGCATCTCCTCCACCCCAGTTTCCCGTTGGTTTTTGGAGAGGTCTAATTCAGTGCTGAAAGTGAATTTGATTCAGAGGTTTGCTTGCTTCTTTTTCCTAAATACTCCCTGGAAGGAGTTGTGGACTAGTCACTTTTCAGGTCAGTTTCTGGCTTCGAGTATAATGTCACCTGTGCCTGTGTCTCCCCGGGTGATGTGTGTGTGAGCTGGGCTGGATCTGAGTGTGGGAGGGAGCACCTCAGCTTCCACGCAGGGAGTTGATAGCGAGTGATGTGGTGAGAATGGATTCATAACGAAGGCCTTGGCTCAGGGACAGCTTCGCGATCATGTTTTCTCATAAGATGGCGATGTCAGCCCTGACTGAGCCAGTCTTCTGTCAGGGTTGTCACGAAGGCCAAAATGGGGTCATGCTTTTTTTTTTATGATTTTGTGAAACAGGACGGGAGAGAAAGAAACAATGATTTGTTGGTCCACTTACTCATGTCTTCATTGGTTGGTTCTTGTATGTGCCCCGACCGGGGATTGAACCTGCAACCTTGGTGTATCTGGACGATGCTCTGACCAACTGAGCATCTCGTCCTGGATGAGGTCATGCACTTTAAGGAGCCTTGAGACTCAGGTGTTGTGCAGTCGTAGGCTTTTCCTGCGATCTAGCCTTCTCTCATATTGTTGGCTGTCACTCCACCAGGGGGAGTGGAATCCTTGTTGTGGGCCAGATAGCCCCAGACGCCTGTTCCACGTTTTGGGGAGCCTTTCCCTGTGGCAGCTGGCCTCTTGGTTTTAGCAGCTGAAGGTGTGTTTGTTCTGTGACCGATTCATGCTACGTTTGTCCCTCTAGGACCCCGTGGTTTTGGCATTTGACATTGAGACGACCAAACTGCCCCTCAAGTTTCCTGATGCTGAGACTGACCAGATTATGATGATTTCCTATATGATTGATGGCCAGGTGAGCAGTGCCTTCTGGAGTGTGAGCTCCCTGGAAATAGGGACCTTGTCGGTCCCCAAACCAGAACAGTGTTCACCCCACGACTCACAGTTTTGGGTGAATAATGAGTGAGTGGAATCCAGGGAAGTGAGCAAGCAGGCTGTTCGGACACCAGCACGCTCCCCCTTCCGATGGGAGTCTGACGCTCAGGGTGTGGACGCTCAGGCAGCTCCCGGTGCTGCTCAGGTTGTTGTGGTCTGAGTTTCTG